AGGCTCCGTGGTATGCACTGGGGTCTGGCCGGCTGGCTCCATGCTCTTTGGCCTCCTCCTCTGATCTCGCTCCCAACATCTGTATGGAGTGTCTTTATAGGTCTCCCACCATCATCACCCTGGTTCTGGGGTTCCCTTCCATGCTGGTCCTCAGAGCTCACTAGAGAGCCTCAGGAGAGACCTGACCCCTACTGCCGCCCCTCCGTCTCTGAGAGGGGGTCCTGGGGGCGGGACATGGGGCAGCTCAGGGTTCACACTGACCTGTGTCCTCAGTGCACACACCACCCCCAGGCCAAGCCCAGCGAGGAAGCAGCCCACAGCGAGGGCCACGGAGAGACCAAAGGGCGCCGCCTGGTTCTCACCCCTTGACAGTTTTTCTAGGAAAAAGAAACGGAGTGGAGGGTTGGGTCCCAGGCCTTGGTTCCCACAGAGGCTTGAGGATTGGTGTGTGTGTGCTATGTGTGTATAGTATGTGCATGTGTGTGGTATATGGTGAGTTGTGTCCTATGTGGTAAATCCGTGTGTGTGGTACATGTGTAGTGTGCATGTGTGTGGTACGTGGTGCATTGTGTAGTATGTGGTATATGTGTAGTGTGCGTGTGTGTGCGTGCAGGTCAGGAGACATCTGGAGAGCTTCCTAGGTGGGGAGGAGTCTTGAACCAGAAGAGGAGACCCTGCAGATGCAGGAGGGAAAGTCCCTGGACCTACAGTGCCGGAGGGGCTGGGTCCCACCTGATACCAGGACCAGGGTTCCGTGGCCCGAGACCTGGCTGTCTCCAGCGTCCTGGCAGGTGTAGAGGCCGGTATCGGCGGGCTGCAGGCTGCTCAAGGTGACGGTCAGGTTCTGCTGTGAGCCGGAGAAGCCGACGCGGGTCTCAAAGGCCTTGTCCACCGTGGGTGTCTTCACGCTGCTGTAGTAGATCACGTAGCCCTTGCTGGCCATGGGCCACTCTCGGGCCAGGTAGACACCATACAGTAGAGAGCTGTTGCTGGAGCAGGTGATGTTGACAGAGCCACCTTCTGGGACAGACGTGTAGCGGGGGGACTGCCGCAAGTCTGGGGGGAGGAACTGGCATGTCACTACCACCTCCTGGCAAGGCCAGAGAGCCTCCCGTGCAGGGGCCAGCGGACGATGCAGCCCCCATTGTTTGCTGTGCTCATAGGAAAGTGGGCAGAACCCCTCCCTCCCTGGGTCCACCGAGTACCCTCAAGGTGGTAGAGTGTGTGTGTGTGTGTGTGTGTCACCAAGTCTCCTCATAGGAACAGCTGCTGGGGTCCCAGGAAAGCAGAGACTCACAGTGACCACGGTCCCTGGCATGTGACCAGGGCTGACCAGACCCCTGGGGCAGCTCCATTGACTATCAGCACCCCTCTCTCCCCTTCCTTCACTCGGGAAGCAGCTGGACCGAGCCCCTGGCGCTGTGGGGCTGGG